ACCTCATAATTTTGAACATTGTCTTTCAACACCTTCCAAATGGTTTCAATTGGATTCAAGTCTGGCGAATTTTCCGGCCAGTCGACAGTCGTGATTTTATTTCCATCAGCCAATTCTTGAGTTTCCCCGCGCGCCACTGTATGGATTGGTGCGTTGTGCTGTTGAAAAATCCCGGATTACGTTCTAAAATTGGTTTTTAAGATTGCATAGTAAGTATTTTTCGTTATTTTTTTATATTCATCGTAAAAAATTAACGGTCCTTTTAACCCTCCTGCGAAACACCCCAAGCCATTGCGGATTTTCGACCACTTTTAAAAGTGGATACCAACCAAGTATTGTTATATTCTCTCTTGGATGCTGCCAAACTTTTAGTTATCGTGACGGCTTCCCAATTTCCACGCTCGTCTTAAAGCGAGCATATGCATATATTTCTGAGAGAAAGGGTTTCTTTGCTGCAATACGTGAATGAAGTCCGGAGTTGTGCAGTTCATTTGCGGAGTTGACAAACTGCAGTTGAGACCTCAATTTCGCGAAGCGGCGCACGTTGCTTTTCAGTAGCTTCACATGAGTAAGTCAAGTGTCCAGTTTCATTGCAGATGTAATAAATTGGAATTGAATTTGTTTACTTAGACAGGCCGTATCAATAAGTTCTGTTGAATTTATTTGGTTTTCTTTGTACAGGCCGTTCCAATAAGTCCTGTTGTGTTTGAGATTGTTCTAATAACCAACGAATAACAATAGATAGAATTTTATTGCTTTATTATTAAAAAGGTTGATTTGCGTACAAGTCGCCACAGGAAACCTTTAGTACACCAAAAAAAACCCTTTATCGTAAATAATTTAGTCTAGCTCTCATCCCCGTTGCGAACAACCCCTCTTTGACCAATTATCGTACCTAGACGCAACAGTGCTCATTTGTAGATGTCTAATGCGAGATCTCATGATTTCGCTCACCAAATGGTTGTTCACCCGTTACAATTCATACATAACCTTACCAAAGCTATAAATATCTGCAGATTTAGTGTATGACTTTTCACATAGCACCTCTGGACTAATATCAGAAAGTACACCGTAAATTTCTCGATTAGATTTTGTTATATTGATATCGATCTGGTAAGTCCAAAGTCAGCTATGAAAGTAACATGCAATAATATATTTCCAAGGTGAAAGTCATGATGCACCAATCCATTTTCGTGAATTTATTTCAGCCCATCAGTATTAGTAGTAGCTAAATGCTTTCTTTCCCATGATGATGTTTGGAAATATATTCGCGTAGATTACGTATTCATTTGTTATTCCAGATAAATCATCATAAGTGCACTTTAGAGAAGTCAGAATCTATTTTGAAAACTTGATTCTATTAGAAAACAATAAAGCATCATGTTTACACTTTAGAAATGTGCATTTTTACCTCCGATGTAATTTAGTTTGTGTAATGATATTCACCTTCTACATAGTTTGAATTTATTTTCTCCACGGTCCCACCCATTGTATTGGTACAACAAAGTTGCATTATGAATTGTTCCAAAACCTCCTTTTCCAAGATATTCAACATTAGCAAATCTTTCAAAAGAGCTCCATTCGAAAACTCTAACATTTGTGCATTCATTTATTAGACGGTCGATATCTTTATTTCCGCTAGAAAAATAAGCTTCATAAATTCTTTTGTGATATTTATAACACTTATTACAGTACTCGTTTTTTGACAATTTCAACAATTACTACAATCATGAGTATTGTGATCTGAACATTCATCGCAGTAGTCATTGTTTTGACAATCGAAACATTTACTACAATCATGATTGTTAGATCATATATCGGTATTTAGGTTCACCAATGAAATATTGTGATCTGAACACTTTCCGCAGTAGTAATTATCTAGACAACGCCAGCATTCACTACAATCATGAGCTTCAGTTGCCATCTTTGAGTTCACTTGATGTACCACGCGTTTTAATCAAATGATAGTAAAATAATACGTGGAAGTCGATTGAGAATTTCCGAATGTTTGTTTGTATCAGTAAATGTTTTAGCGTATCAAACATGTGTATGAGATTGTGTAAAATCGATATAAATTTATTTTATGTGAAATTCTATGAATAGCGTTTCGAAGATAACGATAAACAAATCGATTTAGATCTGTTTTATTTCATGAACAGTCGCCGTAACGTCCGATTTGGATGCAACATCAACATAAATTTAAATGTGGCGGTTTTCCCCCTTTTTGTTATTGTTGACTGCAAATTTTTTTTCATTTC